CGATGACTCTGGCGCTCTTGCCCTACATTTTCACACAACGGAATATGCTTCAGATATGTGAGTTGCTTGATCAAGAAGGGTTCACTTGTGGGGCAATCATAAAGTGCACAAAATTGAAATCGGAATTGGGCAGAAACCACTGATCTCTAGCCGGAAATTAAAGGGATGCCCCAGGATCATAATTTTGTGGTTCTTGCGCATGATTATGAACTATTGGTGGGAAACCTACCGGCAGAAAGAAAAAATATTCGCGGAAATTCCTCAAGTTAAGGGCTTGCTCGTAATGCTGTGCTAACCAAACGGTAGTGGGAGGCTGAGCGCGGAGAGGAGAGTAGAACACGAAAGAGCGCAAGAGGAGGATGAGAGGGCGCCAGACAGCAGCCTGCTGCAGTCGGGGAGCATTGCAGCTGCTGCAGCTAATTTTGCAAGGCCCTAGCGCCCTGCTTAGGTGCATTTCCATGCACGGGAGTGCGAAATCTGTGAAACCCTTGGGCTCTATCTTTCAGAATGAAGGGAATCGATTATTATATTGGGTTGTGCCTATATGGCAGCTAGCAACAAGTGAGGTTGAAAACAAAGACCTTCAGCACCTGCTAAGCTTCTTTGTACAGAGCCTTATTTCCCTCTCCACGAGCAAAGAAATAGTATATACATGTTCTTAAGTGAGTGTGAATGAAAGGAGGGGTAATGACCCAGCGAGCAACAACTGGGCAGCACATTTGAAAAAGACCGATGAGCACCGTATACTTGCTTTTTATGATGATTTATACTTTCGACATATTACAGGGGGTTGTGCAATAATCGGGGCAGACAGAGTGAAACTGGTTTTCGTGGGACTGAGATTCCGTCGCAGTTATCAAAGCGACGGGTCAACAGACACACAGTGGGCACACAGTGGACACACAGAGAAACACAATTGAAGTGTAGTCTTGTTGGAGTCCTGCTGTTTTCCGGCACTCTTACAGTATCCCTGAACAGTTATAAAACGGAACTCGAGCTGAAGAAAATTACGACCGCTCTGAGAAGCAGAGCACCACTGCATCTCTCACCACGTGTCTTTCGGACACTTTTGGCCAATGATCATCTAACCATACGACATTCACATGGGTGTTTGCACGTGAATATGTACCAGCAGTTGCACGATTGCCTTATCACCACCATCAACATCCTTCTCATGACCCTTTAAAAGTTTACCAATGAGATTTGGCACCCTGTGAAGAGCAAAGATGATGATGTACTTTTTTCATTCACTTTACATTTTACAGCCAGCAATTTCTTTTGCACGGCTCAAATTCGCAGGCAAAAGCACGACATCGGAAAATTTTATTCGGTTTTACTTTTCTTTAAAGAAAGCGAGATCCATTTCAGGAGAAGTTTTACAATAAAAACCACAAAACATAGAACGATTGCGAATTGAGCAAGCAAATATGCGATAATATCGAGACAGTTGTATTGTACAAATGAGAGATCTCTTGCACGAATCATCAGATGATCCATTTGGCCTTCTTCGGCCACCAACTTCACCCAACGCTTTACCTCAGCACGTGCTGCGGCCGCTCGTCCACGAAGATGTCGTGCCACTGTGGCAGCTTTGCGCGCATAGGTGCTGAAATGACAACTGTTCAGGGTTAGCGAATGAATGAGAGAAATCCGGTTTTTCCATCAAAAAAATTAACTAATCTCCCATAGAAGTTAGAAGAGAGGTAATGCACTGGTAAAATCATCATACGTGTGCATATATTCCGTGGAATGGCACCTTCAAAAAATAGTAAGGCGCAATGGGTGAGATTGAGAGGCGGAGCGGTTTTGATGACGTCACAAAGCGTTATTGGTGGAAGGGCGTAGAGAGAAAGGTCCCGACCACGCCCCGCGCACTTCCATCTCATCGTCACACCGTCAATCCGTAAACCCCGCCTCTCAGTCATGGCATCCACTGCCTTTGAGGTGTATTATCATTGCTCATTCAACGCATTAGAAACAACCTCCCAATCCTTTCTCCTGTCGGCTCTGTACATTTTTCTCTGTCAACCAACGTTCATGCTCATATCTGCAGCTCTCGAGGCTACTGTGGATGAAATAGGGAGATGACCTCACATTATCAGCCCTACACTTCTGTTTTTCCAAGCTTGATCGGAATAAATTTACTGGGAACTTTATAGGCTAATTATCCATTTCCCATTTCGATTATGAAAATGACAGCTGAAAGAAAAAAATGGTAGGGGTAGCAAAAATCGAAAGTTCACTCACGCATCTGGGAGAGCGTTTCCCGAATTGCCGCTACCAAAGTGTCCTTGTTGAGCTGGCTCCTGTCAATCATCACCGCCCTGCCTCCTCGTCGAATATTTTTTGCGTTGAGGAACTGATCTCCGAACAGTGGTATGACCACCATGGGTTTGCCAGCGAACGTCGCCTCAAGAACCGGAGTTCATTCCGCGTGTGTGAAACAAGAGACAGACCGCTTAATTCGACTGAAAAGTGCAACTAACTTAATAATTGAACGAATTCGAGGAAGAATCAAGATTTTTAGGACATAAACCAGAAAGAGTTCATGAGTTCATTCCAGCGTGTGTGTTGAACAGAGACAGCCGATTCATGAGGAAGTCCCGCTAATGAGAGGGGAATGAAACAATCGACGTGAAAACGGAGAAGAATGCAGTGGGGAGACAGGCAAGCAGAAAGAATGCAGAGAGGGGCAGACAGAAGGCAAGTGCTGACCGAATGGTTGAGAGATGGGCTATAGGGCTCAACGTAGAGTGCCACCTCAGGCCCACCTACAGACTAGTTTAGGATCTTAATCGCTCCTCGGCATTTCGAATAATACCCCTCCCCTACTTCCCCTGATTCGCCCCCAAAAAGGAGACAAAGGAGCTGCTAAACGCGGCGGGAATTTGAGTCAAGGGCGTGCGTCAGAATGTAAGGGAGATTTGACGCTAACTCTCACTACCGATTAGGCTTAAAAGAAAAACCTAAGCAACACGGTGACGGTCCGATTGATGACACAAGCCTTCCAACCATTTCGGAGATTTTCGTCGCACTACCCGATCGTTAGGAATCGTACGTGGTCACAAAGTGTTTCCTACCTTCCATAGCCGACATTTGAGCGATTAAGCATACTATCAAAACAAGCCTGTGTGTCAGCTTAGTCGCCCCGGCTTCCCGAAAGCTCACTTCTTCAAAAAGCTGCAATTTTTACACCTATTTGAGCCTACGATGGACGGACAGAGCGAGAGTGAAGGAGGAGAATGAGGTATCTCACCTAGCAAGTCCATTTGTGGAATCCACTTCATTCTATATATGTTCGGATGAGCTCTGAACAAATCAGAATCGCTGTCGTCTTCATATTTCCATATGAATGTCGTATTTGGGAAGCTAGCAAAAGCTTCTATTATACCTGAATAATCAAAAAATCAACACATAAAAATGATTAGCGCTTAATTCTTATTGCCTTAAAGGCATACATTCAGAGTAGTTAGCTGCGGTTGTAAGGCACGAAAGCGAAACCGTGTCAGCGAAGGCCACCCCGGCTTGCAATGGGAAGCAGAAGAAAGCAACGGAAACGTTGAAATTCGAACCCTTTGTGCTACTTTTTTATAAGGCGAACTGAATTACGGCAACGAGAAATTTGCACCGAGAAGAGACTGGGCGAGAGGATATATCAAACGAGAGAGAGCAGACCTCCGTGCTTTCGGCCGTACACGTCCGAGATCAGGTGAACACGCCAGACCGAAAATATTCGAATGTCGCGGCATGGCACCACATGTAGAGTGCGAGCCCTACACCAGTCGTTTAGCGAAATGGGGGGGTCCTGTGGCATGCAGCCTGATTCGTGGATGTTACCTTTGAAGTAGAGAATTGTTCTGGATAAGACGGTGCGCAGCTGTCATAGTGGTGATACAATCGAGCCTGACCGGGCTATTCACAGAAGAATCCGAAACGCGTGCTGCTGGGGCACCACCTCAACCCACGCGTACCCGGCCGCACTTGTTAAAGTTTTTGCCTATTGATAAGTGTTTCTATTCTGACAAAACCCCCACTCAATCGCAAACTTGGGCCTATATATCGGTGTTTCAGGTTCAAGCAATCCTGAATTGCTGTACAGCACATAGAAAGACAGAGTTAGCGGTTCATATAAAACAGGATATGAGCAAACCTTTTTTCAGGCGTAGTGGCATGTCCCTCGATTGAGTGAAAGTACCCAACGAGAACAGAACATTTGTACTTCGCTGATCCAGGAGAGCGTTGATCTTCTGAAAGTCAAGCAAAGCGATCTTTAGAGTTCAATCTTTACTGAAGGCGGTACGGCACTTCATCTAGCGGCTTCGGTTCACGTATGGACAGTCCTGCCACGTATCGAACGATGTTAGCAGTAGGACGAGGTGTCTCCAGGAACTCATTCACGTTCAGCAGGACAGCTCCAACCTTCTGCTGCAAACGAGGAGGCAATAAACATGTTTTGCTCCCCTGTGAGTTGATATAAAACACCAATGACGTACCTTGAGAAGGTCCCGAAAATTCGGGAAACCAGGATGCACCTTTTGGAAAATCGACAACGTTTCTCGTTCCCAATTGAGAGACCGATACTCAAGTTCAATTTTGAGCTTAAAGTTATCCAGACGTTCCCAGAATGTCATCTCATCGCTGTATGTCGTGTATGGTCCTGAAAAAAGCTCTACTCCCGTACTTATTTCGCCGGAGCAATTTGCAAATTAGGTAGGCCTTGCATATGCTTTTGCAAATTGCTTCAAATACGCCCGGTCGTAAGAAAAACAAAAAATACCTGGGATATAGCTCGGGTTCAGAGGAACTCCGGTGACTTCTCGAACGTATGGCGTTATTCCATACGCGGACACGGCCACAGTTCTCTTCACACCAATCAACTTAACAATGATCACGTAAAGGCTCCATCAAAGTGCATTCAAGTTATATTTTAAAAAACCATCTCTATTTCCTTACCTCAAAAATACCGACTTGGTATGGATCGTAAATTTCGTGCACAGCAACGTCGAACCGGGAAGCACGAAGGCGGTCCAGGAAGACTTTATCTTCGGCGAGTCCTTAAAAAAACGTTTAGCCTAGCTTGTTTCACCAAAGCACTATCTTCCAGGTCATAGAAATCGCAAAAGTATCCAAAATGAGGTCAGAGTTTCGCAAGGTACGGGGGCATCTTTAAAGGATTCAAGAATAGAGGGCAGGAATTTCGAGGAAAATGAAAACTGCTCACGCACCTCGAAGCTTCTCATCCCGTCGCCATGAGAACTTCGTCCATTTTTAGGAAAAAGTGAGATACTTTCGCAAATTCGAATGCACTGCCACCATTATGCCCCCTAGGTTGCGATAGCGAAAAGAAATGTGACTCCCGTTGTGCTGGGACAGCAACGAGTGGAATTCGGCTGCAACCCAAAGGCAACCAGTTGCTTCAACGGTCTCGTCGGTCGGCTCCCATCTTTATTGTACCTATTAATTAGGGTGACAAAAAAAATCCATGAGCCAGGAGGGACTTCTTTTTTCTTTTTCTTTTCTTTTTTTTAGGCCTATGATTGGGGCTTAGTCTGAAGCTTGCTTCGAGCATTTGAGTGGAGCCTTATTTTAGGTGGCCTGACCAGAGGAAAAGTTTTGACCAAGCCGTTTGACGTCTGAGAGCACGAAATCGCCTTATCGATCAGTCTCTGGCAAAAAGTTACTAATGTTGACGGCGCATATGTTGATGAATAGATATGGCTTATGGCTGGAATAATGGAGACTCGAGATAATATTTGAAACTAGCGCGGACCCTTCTGCCTGTTGGGGCATCCAAACGCGTTGCAGTTAGGTGGTCGCGTTAGCTTATGAGCTCTTGAAAAGTGACTGAATCCGAAAAGAATGAAGAAGAAGGTTCTGAGCAAACCTCGATACAAGCTCTGCATGTTCCTGACGAACCCTTCGAAATCGCTCACACTCATTGAGCGTCCTTGGGCTGGTACTTCCCAGAACGAGGAGCTTTTAACCCTACAATTTGCATTAGTATTTGTGAGCTTTTCTGTAAGTAGCAGTAAATTGGCTTACTCCAGCTTCGAATACCCTTCGTGATCCATGTATTTGGATTCGTACGGTATCTGTAGAATCGACGAAGTGTGCCCTACCATCTCAACACGAGGATCCATTATTGGAGAGAGGATAGTCTGCAAATAAAACTTAATGGTCCGGGATCCAAAATCTATCTGAGTTGATCTATCACAACACACGACCGGAGTTGTGTGTTATTTCGCTCGCGACTGAGTAGAAAGATGCAAAATGGAACGCCAATGGGGAAAAGGGGGAACTCGTCGGGAAAGCCGGAAGTATACCGTCCCCTCGACGAGTTCCCCTTTTCCCCCCGTTCATTTCATGGCAGTGAGGACCTAGAAGGTTGGCGTGTTTGGACGAGTTTCCCGATTCCAATACCAAGATTGCTAACTCTATAAGGGATAAAGAAAGAGAATGGGCGATGAACGAACCACATTGTGTCCATCCTCATGCAGAATATCGGCTATGGCTCCCAGAAAACCGAACATGGCTGTAGCCAATGGTCGGATTCCAAACGAGCACGTTAGCGCAGCGTGTTGTGCTCAAGGCAGCGCTACACAGTAGTAGTAGACGATACATACCTGAACAACGAATGAACTAATTTATTTCTTCCCACTACGCAAATAAAACGAACAGTACAGATAGGAGAGCAAATATCGCAGCAAACTGTGACGTCTACCGCCCCCACTGCCCTCTCAGCGTTCTTTTCACCCAACATTTCCCAGCAGGACAGCTCCAGAATCGAGGGTTATCGGCGGATCAACTTTTCCAGGGCTACTTCTTGGGACCATAATCGTGCCAAATTAAGTCGAGCACAAACGTCACACGGCCAGCACGAACTCTTATCAGCGTTAACAAAATCAATGAAGTTCCGTTGACCAGACGAACAATGTCGGTGAAGGTTGTGGCGATCTCACGATGCGAACCAAATGATGTCAGTACCGATTAAAGTTGTGTGTAAACGGCTGTTGATATCCCTAATCAACTATGGTATGAGCCACGTATTCACTCTTCGCTCGCTTTTGAAAGGATTGAGAGTAGTACATCACTTTTATACTATGCATTAACCTGTACAGGTACAAGTCACCCCTTGAAGCTTTGATTCTGAGCTCAATGATACAATCAGCTATTTGAACGACTTTTGAGTTACATAGCCTTGGCGGAATGTGATATAGCGAGCAATTGCGGTGTTCAGCTTCAACCCTCTGAACTGCCCGAGCCCAGAGGTACAAAATCCAAAAAAGGGCATGAGCAGAGGAATCTTTGAACGTAACAAACGCATGTGAGTGTTGTGTATTGTGCCAAGATAACCTTTATACCTTCTCAGGAAATCTTTACGCACTGTTGCGCAATTCCACCCAAACGAAAAACATCAGCACTTACTAATTCTTATCAGCTGAGAGGCGACCTCGCACTCGCTGTGATGTCACAAAAATAAATGAAGGGCGAAAGTGGTGCTCAACTTCTACGTCTCCTGTATTTCCAGCTCTTCGTGTAAGCTTTATAAAGGACTTGACAAGAATAATGTGGTTGTCTGTTTACAAAACTTGTTAATTTCATAGCTTCAAAGGCAGCTCTAAAACAACAACCGCTTTTGGAGCTATGTATCTGATTGTATTGTATATCTATTTGCATGACCACACATAGCCCCATTTGATCCTTGCCAGTCACCAATTTACCCAGGCCTAGCCGAAGAAGAAAACGTTTCCTAAGAAAGCCACGTGTCGTTAAATCAACGGGCAATTTTCAAGAGCAAAAACATGTTGAAATGTTCAGTATCCGCTTTTCTCAACAATGGAGGGAGGTAATCAGCTGATCACAGTTCCATGGTGCGAAACGGGCCAAATCTGGGTCATGGGATTCTACAGCTACACCTACATATCGTACATGGCCATCACTTGGGTCAAAGGTAGTGAAAGCTGAAAAATCACCCTTTTGCCACTCCCCCAAGCTCATCTATAAACAAATATTAACAAATAGGAGGGAACCGAGCAAGAATCAGAAATCACCCAATGTTTTCGGAAGAATAACTGTAATGTGGTCAGCGCCTTTTCCGATCACATTGCAGCCTTCATTAAATTAATATTAATCTCTTTGTGCTACGCTCATTACACAAAGTGGTAAATGCGAAGCACAAAAGAAAGAATAATATATAATATAATGAATCACGTGTAATACAATAAATAAGTATTCGCCCCAATCCGTTAAGTCCCACCTCTGCCACCTGAAAACGTCCTTTGATGACAACGATTTCCATTTATGGAATCCAAGTTCATGACATTGAATGATCGAAAACCCTCGTGTTGTTTGACGAATA